TATCTTTGACTCTCCGTATGTGTCTCGGTATAATATCGTTTACTCTCCGTATGTGTCTCGGTACACTATCTTTGACTCTCCGTATGTGTCTCGGTATAATATCGTTTACTCTCCGTATGTGTCTCGGTACAATATCTTTTACTCTCCGTATGTGTCTCAGTACAATTTCTTTGACTCTCCGTATTTGTCTCGGTACAATATCTGTTACTCTCGGTATGTGTCTCGGTACAATATCTTTGACTCTTCGTATGTGTCTCGGTACAATATCTTTGACTCTCCGTATGTGTCTCGGTAAACTATCGTTTACTCTCCGTATATGTCTCGGTACAATATCTTTGACTCTCCGTATGTGTCTCGGTACAATATCGTTTACTCTCCGTATGTGTCTCGGTACACTATCGTTTACTCTCCGTATGTGTCTCGGTACAATATCGTTTACTCTCCGTATGTGTCTCGGTACAATATCTTTGACTCTCCGTATGTGTCTCGGTACAATATCGTTTACTCTCCGTATGTGTCTCGGTACAATATCTTTGACTCTCCGTATGTGTCTCGGTACAATATCGTTTACTCTCCGTATGTGTCTCGGTACAATATCTTTGACTCTCCGTATGTGTCTCGGTACAATATCTTTTACTCTCCGTATGTGTCTCGGTACAATATCTTTGACTCTCCGTATGTGTCTCGGTACAATATCGTTTACTCTCCGTATGTGTCTCGGTACAATATCTTTGACTCTCCGTATGTGTCTCGGTACAATATCTTTTACTCTCCGTATGTGTCTCGGTACAATATCTTTGACTCTCCGTATGTGTCTCGGTACAATATCGTTTACTCTCCGTATGTGTCTCGGTACAATATCTTTGACTCTCCGTATGTGTCTCGGTACAATATCTTTTACTCTCCGTATGTGTCTCGGTACAATATCTTTGACTCTCCGTATGTGTCTCGGTACAATATCGTTGACTCTCCGTATGTGTCTCGGTACAATATCTTTGACTCTCCGTATGTGTCTCGGTACAATATCTTTTACTCTCCGTATGTGTCTCGGTACAATATCGTTGACTCTCCGTATGTGTCTCGGTACAATATCTTTGACTCTCCGTATGTGTCTCGGTACAATATCTTTTACCCTCCGTATGTGTCTCGGTACACTATCTGTTACTCTCCGTATGTGTCTCGGTACACTATCTGTTACTCTCCGTATGTGTCTCGGTACAATATCTTTGACTCTCCGTATGTGTCTCAGTACAATATCTTTGACTCTCCGTATAATTAAGCTAAAGTACAGACTAATTGTGTCTCGGTAGTTGATCTGTTACGGTATTTCAGATATATCGAGTCTCGTCAGTACCTGCTCTCTGTTATAGCCTCAGATCCCCACTTGAGGTAACGACTTCCACAGATTTGTAGTTAGGAGTTTGTTATTTACAACAGTTGGCGTGCTAAATAAACACAGCCACAGACAAAATGTGCATCTTTTTAAACAGTTCGGGACCAGACCAAACGATAATAAAACGAGACGTGTTTTATTTTTATTTCACTACAAGTCGTACTTAAACAAACGGTGTTTGTAGTTATGGCTGGCTTAACAATACTTCAGAAACATAAAGAACGACAACAATATACAACAATATAATTATGTAGAAAGCATAGTCAGCATGATGCTGGTCTACATAAAATAAACCCCATTAATACTTTTTTGACTTTTGGTGGATCATTGATAGAATTCTTGAATATAAAGGAAGTATTGTATTAAAGAGTCTATAGTAAGTACAAACACGGTAGTAACCTACTTAAATGCAATCAATCTAACCATACACTACAATGACAGGCTAGAGTACTTTGTCCATTTTAGGTTGAACTACCGTAGAAGTAAGACAGCTAATCCAAAAGTGTGTCAAAGGCGTGACCTTGACCTTTGTATTAATGACTTCAAACAAGCATTTTACTTTTGATATACGTATATTGATTTAGTACCGTGTAACAGATCAGCTTACAGTAAACACGTAAAGTACAAAGTTTACAGTGGCGTATTGTATGATAGCAAACCTGACGTGAAGGCAAAACATGATCAGCAAAAAAACGATTAAACATGACTAAATGTTCATTGAATGTGAGCTTTGTTATAAAATAAGGAAAACACATGTAGACGGGAATTGTAAAAGTACAGACCGTAAATATGACAATATTGATCCCATGGTCCTTTACAAGGAAGGATCTTGGTCATATGGCGTTTGAACTGAACGAGGACGGGTATCGGTCCTAGGTCCGTTTTAACTGAATGTGTATAAATATAATGACAAGTTGCTTTCTTAAAAAAGAAAGCAATAGGTGAACACTCATAGGAAGTGTGTATTTCTTATCATAACAGTATTTCCTGAAGTATAAGTAAGGACATTGAGCGATTCAAGAAGGACTAAGATGGGTATTGCGTCCCACTATATTCCATATTTGGACACGTTTGAAATGTCTTGGAAATGTCTTGGGGCCTTCTAGGTGACAAATAATTGTTTTCCATGCAGGCGATGTGATATGGGCAGTAAGATGTAGATTTGCAAAGAGGTTAAGATTACTATATGGTAAATTGAAGGTGATCTGTGATTATACAGTTATAAGTGTTATATGATGCAGCGATCACTCAATCAGTGCATGATTTCGTTTTATTGGTAGACTTAAACATCCAGTGGAAGAAGAGCATTTTAATTTTACAATTAATGTGAAAAGTATAAAAAAAAAACCCCATCCACATTTAGAAGAAATTTCGGTCCTTTGTCAACCGAACGGTTCTGTAGACAGACTGTTGTTAGGGTTTATACAATATTCATAGTACATAAGGATAAACCATAAGCATTTCATGGGTATTCCAATATTTCACTGAAAATCCGTTACCATGGAAATAGCCCGATATATTTATGAAACACAGCGAGAGGTTCCAGAAGACTTATATCGGTGGTACATAACAGTACGCCAGGTTATGGTAAGTTGTGGACGAGGAGACCAGAAAGGGTACCTAAACTTGGTTGTGGAACAGCTGTGACCTTGGTTCGAATGCTGTTACGGTATCGGAACATACAAGTAGTTATTGTACGGTTGTAAATACGGAGGCTATGAGTGGTACCAAATCTTCGGTGTGGTTTAAATAGAGAGTAGTTCCAATACTTGGATGTGGTTATGGTTCAGTCGTAGATACGAACACAGGGATAGGTTATATAAGCCGGAACAGGTGGCTACGCCATATGGTACCACTTTACACACACTTGACTGTTGTTGACATACAGGTTATGTAGTAGTGATGTAGCACCAAGTAAATAATGTACCCTAAGTCTGACACATGGGGGTATATACCAACCAGGAGTGGTGACTCAGTCATAGGTACACTGTTGTGACGGCTATACGCTTTAGCATTACGGTAAGTCTGTGACAAACCGGAAGGGCCCGGCACATTGATAAACGATAGGTGCTACAAACCCATGATCAGGTACATCGATATACGATAGGTGCTACAACCCCATGATCAGGTACATTGATATATGAAAGGCAGTCGTTGGAATAGTGTTTTATCAACAGATAGAACCAAAAATAAATTATTTGTGGTATTAACTCTTTTAAATAAATTGTGTGTGGTATTACTTCTATACAGCAGATTCTATTCGTAGTAAATACAACATAGATTCCAAGTTACAAGGATTACAATGCCAATCATCATACTGTTACATATCCATTTATAACAAATATCACGGCAGCTATGAAAATATTACACCAGATGGCTAGAAAGTGAAAAAGTTGGTTCCCGTATCAAATTGCATACTCAGTATAAAAGCCCACACAAAGATAGTCAGCATTCTTCTGAAGGGGTTACTTACCGCTATCGCCTAGATAAATAAGAAATTCCGTCTTTGAAATTTGATGAAATACACAATCCCTTTTAATGTGGAGCTTATCGGAATAGAAAACAAACCCTCCTGTTGGAAACTCTTCAGTGTTTCGACTTTCACAACAATCCGTTTTTGTTTTTGCATTGCTGTCTAAATTGTCTTGTCTGTTATATCGCAAACCGGAAGTCTGCCATTCCAAGACGACATCTGTCAGTCACATGTGCACGTGCTACTGGTGTTGATTTCTGAATCAAGTGACAAAAGCTTATAAACTTGTCATGCTTCCTCGTAAACCTGTAAACGTATCTGACATAAAAAGCAACAGAATTAGCTTGTCTCCGCCAAACAAATTGCCAAAAAATTGCCAACGATTTGTTTTTACTCTGCAATTCGGTGTAAAATCATAGCCTTTCCACACAGCTGCAGTGCATTTCGTTTAGAAGCACAATTAAACAACTTAACACGTTGTGTATCCTTGTTTTGACACTGAAGTGGTATCAACCCTATCACTGGTGCACTCGAGACACCCTTACCGACCTGTTGATAAGGAGGGCTATTCTTCAAGATTCCGTGAATGGAATTAACGATAAGAACAGAATGGTAACCTCTCGGGGCTGTGTACGGACGGGAGAAAGTTAGGGAGAGCGTAACGGTGGTCCTGGAAAAATATCCCATACACAAGCCACACGGAACAGCAATGAAGCTCTGATCCAGCCCAAGTACACCCAGCTCGACAGGACTCCACAGGCGCTAATACAAGCGAACCGCGGAGAACCCCACTATCAGGGCCGATTGAACGTTTGTACATGCATTTCCAGTGAAGCGTAGGCAGGTTCCGGGGTAACAGACGCGAGAGAAATCAAATACACACTAGTAAAAGCACGTGAATCAAATAAAATATTCTAATCATTATGATAACTCTATTTATAAGGTGAAAGTATATCATTACCATCTGTAAACGTTACGTCAAAACTTTCACATTTTTGATGTCGATCGCAATACCATTAAAACCACGTGTTGCGGTCAGACCAACTGTAACGTAAGTAAACTTAATAAGGGTGATTTTACCACTCTGGGGTAAACTTTGGCTGGAATTTAATATAAAAGCATACAATAAAAATGACTTGGCGAACTGTTTCTATAAAGAGCGTAACATTGAAAGCGTTATTCAGCGTTTTATTGCTTTGGCTGATACAAGCTATGGTCTGTAGTCGTTCTAGTGTTTGCAAGCCAATTTTTCACATATATGCACTTACCAGGGACCGGGAATAAAGACACCGGAAGTTGTGGGAGCACGGACCTGTCGATCATTAGTGATGAGGCCTGACTAACCCCGCTGTTATCATCTGTTTGTAGAGACCCTGTCTTGACACGTGGACAGTCGAGTCACCACCGTTTAACACAATGCTAATCCTGGCACTATTGACTATGGAGCTCGAAACGTGCGACATTAAATCAAATCGTATGAGTCTAATTTAGTTTTGAAAGTGTTGTGTTTATTTATGGTATTAACCAGTGTCGTTTATCTTAGCAGCAGATCCGTGTGCAACCTGTACCGACGTTGAAAGTTGTCTTTTATATCAAAAGATGAGATAAGATAAGCGAAACACCTATATATTTACGTCATACACCGTAACTGTCTGTCTTCAGAACTCCAATGAGTCATAGTAAGCATTGTATTCGACCAATCAGGCGTACACGTGAGCTGCTGATAACGGTTAACAATAGAACGATACGGCCACACCTGGACAGTGACGACAACTCGACTGTTTTATATATAAATGTATGATGAAGACGATAAGGTAGAGCGATGACACAGCGATATGTCTGAGCCGTGATGTTCCGTACTTTCACTGGTTTGCGGGTTTACACCAAACCCTCAGATTATATAACGGACGTGTTTATCAACTCTTACATCTATGGACTGTGCTTAGTGTGCTATATATGCCAAACACATACACGACCAAGACAAATGGTTATTTTTAGACAATAGGTTCTGGCAGGTTTCGAAATATAATAAAACCAAACTTCTGGCAATGGCGTGACGAGAGAGCTGTTTTTAGCTGCATATGTTTAACGATTGTGGGGAGGATATAAACTCAGTGACTTTCAGCAGGTGACGTGTACAGACATTCTCTCGCCGCAGTGACGAACTGCGGAATCAGCCATTGTGGAGTACCGTTGGCTGTCACTCTCCTGACAGGAACAGGACGGCATGATGGATATGCCGACCAGTATTTGCACTTCCGGGAGGTACTCGGCATCATTTGTGAGCGATCACTTGAAACGCATTTCACGAACTGAGCTTATACTCGAACGACGTCGACATGTTGAAGTTTTGGGGGACTTTGGAGGTCGAAAGTACAGACAAATATCAGTGGCCCATTTCAATGCTATAGTACATGTAGTTTAGGAACGCCAAAAAAGTCTATACAATGTGTAAAGTCACAGTGATACTCTATACTTGGTAATGGTAAAGTTTAAGGATAAAGTATATGTAAGAATATGGGAGAATGGCCAGGACGGTTGCCGAAAGGATATGAAGGACAGGACACTATTGATAAGCGAACACAAAAAGAGGATTTCCACAATTATTAACAAAAGAATGATAATTTTAATAGGATTAATAATTTTGCTGTATTTCAATTAAGTATATATATGTTAAGGACATATGCTATCTCAATTTGGCATGCGTTTGCTTTTCCAAAGTTTCACTCTAAAATTCCAGTAAAACTCTGGCGTGTGCTAGAACTAACTGATGACGCAAATAAATAGTACACAATTACGTCAAACAATGACACCATGTGGGTCTGATCTACAACGATCATAAGAAAACATTAAGGTAGATAACTTGAGTACAAGACGCCGGTAAATAGTGTTAGGTAGAACGTCACCTTAGACCAGCTCTACTGGTCTACATTAGACGGTGATGATATAAACAGATAGCCAAAACTACTGTCTATGTAAAGTGTCAGATTAATCAGGTTTGTATTACAGTAGTGGTGAAGGTGACCGACAGTCACACGAGAATATAAGAGACGACATAAACCAAGAACCCCCTTGTGTTATATACTCTATAAACAAAAACAGCTCACGACAGCCGTTGTCAAAATCATTTAATTTCTCTTAACGTTACACACAAACCTACAACGCAACACACGCAGACTTATGCATCATTTTGGTTTCGATTTACTTTCGAAATTAGTATAAAATAATTACTAAAAGAACATGTAAGGGAATATCGAGGATACACATAAAACCCTCCATGAAACACTTACTTAATCACGATGTTTTCACCGCTAAGTAACACTAGCTAGCTATCTTAATAAATCAACATTATCACTGCGTATTCTTGTAACATAACCCCAAACGCCGAGAATGATCAGAGGAACCTCGGAAGCACGTGAATTATGTGGTATATGACCGAGAGGCACATTACACGTGCATATACATACATATATGCTGTTGATAGAGCTCATGGTAAAGGTACCATATAGCAATATTGACCGGAAGTGAATGAAACGCACATGCTGGTGGTGAAATACAATAGGTGAGGTTCTAATCTATTCGATTCAAGCATAAAACAAATCTTCTCTCAAACTGAAAAAGAAAGTCTTAAAACTGAGTTTGTTAAGTGCATATTACCCAAAAATAAGTACGGTCCTCTATGGCAATCACCCGTAAGACCTATATGTACATGTACTCTTCAGATCTGCGCGTGCTTTTCACGTCCTTGTGTGTGAAGTTTCCTTCCAATAATCTATTTCTGACAACACCACTCAAATTCCTTGTTACCCTTCAAACGTTCGTTAGATCTATCTGGGACTCACTCTCATTTGGTGTCCGTGCTTATGTTGGTATTGGTCGTTGATTGGGTAATTCCCGCACACGTGTATACACAGATGAGTTGGTCATAAAAACCACACGAAAAGCTTAAACATCCATTAACAGTAAATACATATCATAACAAACCGCAGGGGAACACTTGGGATGACCAACTGACCCTCCGGAACCCCTCCAATAATAACCGGATAGTCAACTTCCGGTGCTACTAGAAGTAGTCTAAACAGACTGATTGACCACCATGCACGTGAAATGATCATTGCCATTGTACGTGATTGTAGTACATCTTCTACGATTCTCTAGTGTCTGTACGCAAAAACACATCTACTTCATCATATGAGGATGGAGTTGGTTTCAGACAAGCACCTGTCACAATAAGAAAAGTTACCAGTCTCGCCCGTCCCTATGTATATTTGACAGCAGACTGGCTACCAGTCTCTGTTGTGTTATTGTCACTTATTTCTATCTGTATATGTTGACTTAAAAAAGTATACAGGACTATAGTTATTATCTATATGACATCCACACAAATTGAACGAGCTCAGGTTCACAAACAAGAAAATATATAATCATATGGTCTAATTTGACAGTAATTAAATATAATCTAGTAAACGTTCAAACTGAATATATTTTCATGTTAAATAAAACCTTTTATCTCGATATCACGTTTTTGGCAGTTACAACAAAAGTAATGGCGAGCACAATTGGTTGTCTTAAGTATATCCGGGTACGCTTATCAGTTACTAAAATATTGACATTTTGAATACAGGCGTATACAACCAAGGGCCTGTTCGTTTATGCGAAACAACCACCTTGTCTGTTTTTAAATGTAATATTTTCAGGTATAAATCCTTGCGGACCTGCCAATGTTTATGCAGGCCTTGCAAGGCTTTGTCAAAACTCGCCTGAAAGCAACATCAGATTACTGGGTCCGACCTTGTTTCATTAACGAACAACTCTGGTTCAACCGTCTGGATCACGATGAACGAAAGCGGTCCATATGTACCCTTTATCCCACCCACAGTTCAAACAGTTTACGTTCATGCATCAGGTAGTCCCGAATCCCGACTACAGTCGACCTTTTCCTATCCGGAAGACCCTAACTTACACATGTAGTCCCCTTACCACAGGCTAATAATCACGTGACTTGGCTGAGACCACCGCGATTCAATCTCAAACAGTAATTCCTCCTTAGGACATCATGATCAGTATCAGAATCAATGAATAGATAACCCCCTGGCCGTCCACAACATCAGTTTAAAACCCCCCCTATCGGTCAACACCGGTATGTCGGTCCCTCTCCCATTACTAGTTAAAAACAAAAACAGTTATAACCGGTTTTCCGGTGTTAGGTTCGATTTCCTTGACAGGTCGATCCATGTAGTACAGTATAGTTATCTTGTTCCCCCGCGAGATCAAGCCGTCCGCGTCGAGGGTTTCTGTGTGTTGCTGGCTCCGTGAAATCTAGGGCACGACAGGTGTTATGGAACGCCAACATTTAAATAGTTATGCAGATTCCTGTTAGAGTAGTCCTTTTCATAATCAATATTTACATAATGACCTGGTACGATGCAATTCAGAAATCACCGTAACGCTTTTATCTGGCTTCAATCTTAATCAAAATGTATACGCTGAGCGACCCCCCCCCCCCCCCCCCCCTTATACTAGACATGTATACATACAATGAGTTCTCCATCAATAAGCAAAACGTGTTTCCAGTGACTCTTCCCTCAATTAAACATACTTTACATAATGATTCCTACCTCACAATGAGTTCTTCCTCTTTATGCCAAAAATGTAAACAATGAGTTCTCCCCCAATATAACGAATATGTATGCAACGACTTCTCCTTCAATAAGAAAAACAATGCTCAGTGAGTTATCTCTCAATAAAACAAGCTGTACACATGAAGTTCCCTTAGTTGAGACAAAATGTCCACAATGAGTTCTCCCTCAACAAGACAAACTGTAAACAATGATTTTACCTCCAAGACGACAAA